GTGGTGCTGCTTGAGCACCTTTAGTTGTTGCTGTGTACTTGTGGACAAGAACCCTCTCTCCTTTCCTCCTTATATTTTTCACTATAGAACCTGTATGTTCTTTTGAACTCATCACGGGTGGATGAAATTAGGCTCTTTGTAGCAAGTATTTTAACCACTATCCCACAATCACAAGGCATGTAAAGATGTAACTTCTCGTTGATTTTTAACTTTAATTTATAGGACCAGAAAGTATGTTTGAAACTGTAGTATTGTTAGAAGTGCCAATTTTTTACTCATCAAGATTGTAGATTATGTTGGCTTGTGAAATTTTTGGTAATGTCCATCACCTCATATATAGCTGTCATTTAGTTAGGTGTTATGCACTTTTAAGTCTATTCTTGAGGTAATGTACTTTGTCGCTTTGTTTAGGTGCTCAAGAAAATGGACATGTTGCGGAAGAATGATATTGACCGTATTTTGGCAGAGCGAAACATCTTGATAACTGTCCGGAATCCTTTTGTGGTAATGTCCAATTTCTCTCTTTTGTAACATCTTGATAACTGTACGGAATCCTTCTGTGGTAATATCCAATTTCTCTTTTTTTTTTAATTCATTAATTATTCTTGTAGTTCATGCTTCAGTGCTGCTTCAAATATGTTTTATTCTTGGTCCTCATGCCACTCATGCTGCTTCAATTCTACTATATCTGTCGTATTTCTTAGTGAAAGAACCATGTACTTGAACATTCAACTGTTGAGGCTGTTAATGCTCGCCAGTTTGAGCCGTTGGAAGTATGACACAGCATAATTCTGGATGTCTGATCTTGTCCCTGCAGGTTCGGTTCTTCTATTCATTTACCAGTACGGACCATCTTTACTTGGTAATGGAATACCTAAATGGTGGAGATTTGTACTCTTTGCTTCAGAAAGTTGGTTGCCTTGAAGAAGATGTGGCTCGTATATATATTTCAGAATTGGTACGACAAATTAATCCTGTGGATAAATTTTTTAATCCAAATTGGGATGCTTTCAGGTCCTTGCAACTTTCTAATCCAAATTGGGATGCTTTCAGGTCCTTGCATTGGAATACCTTCATTCTCTGGGAATTGTGCATCGTGATCTGAAACCAGACAACATATTAATTGCACATGATGGGCATATCAAGGTATGGTAGCACAGTGTGTGTTGAATATATATGCTACAACCTGAAAGAGGAAAATCATATGCAGTGTTGTATGGCTTTCTATAAATCATAGCAATGCATTTCCCCTTTATGCAAGTTTGGTTTGACAGAATAGAGATGTTAAAATACCTCAAAAGTTTTACAAGTCTGAATTGACTTTATTTCTTTTGGTCAAAAGTATCAAAACAAAACTTGTTGTGAACCATTTTATTTACCAGATTTGCTAAGGTTAGTCTAAATCTGTATTTAGGACAAACTAGTAATGGTTATTTTATTTTATTTTTGGGGTGGGGGGGGGCATTTGGGAGAGGGGAAGTTCTAAGTGAGGAAGAAAAATTGAAATCACAAGAAAGAAGTGTTTCAGAAACACAAGTATGTTTCAATTGTGAGTTACTTGTGCAAGTCCAGTACCCATCATTGTGGTGATAAAATTCTAAAACAGATTATTTGACCAGCTTACAGATTTTGGGCTGTCAAAGATTGGTCTTATGAACAGTACAAGTGATTTATCAAGATGTGAGACAAAGGAAAATAATGGTTCGGGTGATCATGGTCAGAACAATCCAGATACTGTTGATAGATGTCAGCGATCAGCTGTTGGCACTCCAGACTACTTGGCACCTGAAATTCTTCTTGGAACACAACATGGTCCAGAGGCTAACTGCTCCCTTCTCTCCATTTGAAGCATTCTCCTTCCAGAAACAGTTCAAAGTTATTCAATGAAGCCTAAGTTGTACAATCATTTTTGGGTCATTTCTGCAGGTTATGCGGCAGACTGGTGGTCTGTTGGAATTATACTATTTGAACTCATTACAGGATTTCCACCGTTCACTGCTGAACTTCCAGAGGTAGAATTCATTTGAGTAGGCTTTTAATGTTTTTGGACGTCAGAGCAACTGATTACAAAAGTAGGCAAACTGGACTGTGGAATGTTTGCCATGCATATGCGTTACCTAATTCTTCTTATAAATTCTTTATTAATCCCTGTATGAGCAAACATTAAATAGTTTTACTTTGTGCAAACTGGACTGTGGATTTTTTTTTTTTTTAATTTTTCATGCATCATTAAGATGAGGAAATGCATCATAGACTAAGCCTGTATTGCTTTTTATCGTCTGTGGAATGTTTTCCATGCATATGCTTTGCCTAATTCTTCTTATAAATTCTTTATTAATCCCTGTATGACCAAACATTAAATAGTTTTACTTTGTGCAGTGAGAGTTACTATATTTGTTCTCACTCCAGTTGCCCATGTTCTTGGCTGGACAGATAATCTTTGACAATATACTAAACAGGAGCATTCCTTGGCCTTCTGTTCCTATTGAGATGTCCCATGAAGCCCAAGACTTGATTGACAGGTTAGTTTGTACAAATTTTTATATGTCGTGAGATTGTATTTGTAACATGCAGTATTTTATCAGCACTATAGATGCCTTTTCCCATGTCTCAGAATAAGCAAGGCATTATCTCGAACATTTTGGTTCGTGGCTCCTATATTTTTATATGCTGCAGTTAGTTGAATTCCAACAGTCTGTGTCTGCAATGGTAAAAAGCTTCTTTGACTAGACTATAATGCAAGTCAATTAGTAGTCATTGTTTAGAAGTATGTAATGATGTTGTCATAAATTTCGAGGTCATCATCTAGTTTAATTTTTCTATTGCATGAACAGTAAGCTAATATGGCCTGAATGTATAGCTCAATTTTGAATTTTTTATTTTATAGTTGATATAACATGGTTTTTCTTCTTTGTTACATTTTGCATGATTGCTGACAGAATATTACACGAAAATTACCATTTTAGGTTCATGGATTTAACACTTAAAGAATAGGGCTCTCCAAGTCAGCGCGTTACCCTCTCTTCTGTTGAGTTCTTGAGTAAAAGGAGGGAACCTCTCGATTACATGTAATTTAAGCCAAGGCTATCTGATATTTGGATGTGAATCTATGTTTTTAAACTAAGGAAAATTTACACTGATGACTTTGGCTGTTAAAACTGGTAGCTGACTTCTTGCAATAGTTTGTTTTTTCTTTTTGCCTCGCCTCGCCTCTGTTCTGTGTCAACTACTAGACTACCTGTTCCACGACTGATGTCAAATCAATCTTGTAGGTTTCTTGACCATGACCCAGATCTGCGGCTTGGAGCAAAGGGAGCATCAGAGGTTTAAATGATCTTGCGTAATTTGTTGTCAAATTAAAATTCTCTATTTGTTCTGATCACTGAGAAAATAAGTAGTAGTGCATTCCAAAGATAATCTAATATTTCCTTGATCCTTGCACAGGTCAAAGCACATCCCTTTTTCAGGGGAGTTGACTGGGACAATCTAGCTTTACAAAAGGTCAGCACTGGAAATATATTTGGCGCTTGTTCCTTTGTGTTGCATTTTCATGTTTGGAGTGGTTAATTATGAGCTTTTTTTTTTTTAGCTGTTTTTCTGCAGAATGTGGTCATTTTCAGCTTTTGTTTGCACAAATTTCTTGAGGAGAAAAAGGATTATCTTGAATTTAAGAAAAAACTTTCAGAATGCTGTTTATTAATCTAGTATTTAGGCATTTCTTTAAATTGCTTGGTTATTGTCACCATTTTCCCCATATTATTTACTAACTGCCAGTGATTGTTTTCATAGGCTGCCTTTGTACCACAACCTGAAAGTATGGATGACACAAGCTATTTTGTCTCCCGGTATAATTCGATTGGATTACAGGATGATGGGGATTGTAGTGATACTGCTTCTGATGTTTCTGATTTGTGCTCAAATTCTGGGCATGAGGTATATCAGCTCGGTCCTTGATTGCTATCTTTACTCAAATATACACATTGCAAAATGCTAACACTTTTATCTGCAAAGGCTTGGAATCTCAAATTAGAATTAAAATTAAAATTGTGTACTTACTGTCTGATCTTATGTCATTTCAATTCAACATCCTTCCTAGGCATTAGTTGAAGACACGTGTAAATGTTCAATCATGCCTCTGGTGGCCTGTAGTCAAGCATGTGATCTCTAACTACTTTTGATTTTACATCAGGAACTGTAATGAACTTATTGCTTTTCTGTGTCTTCATTGTGGGTTTGTGAATAATTCCATTTGCAGGGATCAACAAGGGTGGAGTGGGGAACCATTATCTGTTGTGTGTGTGAATCGCTAGATATGCAAGAATCTGCTCCTTGTTACCTACTGTTTTTTCGTTTGTCCATGAAGTATGGCTCTGGTTACATTTATGCTTGTTCGAAGTGTAGATGAATATTTCGATTTTCACTTAACCTGTTAAGCAACGGCTACAATGCCTCCTTGATGGAATCTATGATTAATGCACTTTGGAGAAAGACAAATGTATCCTAATTGATGGACAATTATAAACTTCCCTTTCCTCTTTGTTCCTTTACAGAAGATGGACGAATGTGGTGATCTTGCAGAGTTCGATCCTTCTCCTCTTGATCTTTCTTCGATTAATTTTTCCTTCAAGGTAACTTCTATTTTGGAAATGCAAAACACACTTTTGGTTTACATTTTTTGAACAATTTCCAATTACTTGCATTAGACAGCGCGCTGCTCTCTTTTTGTAGTTCATAGCGTTGCTGAAACACATTGCCGGTTTAATGTATGATGAATACCGTAGTTCATAGTGTTGCTCTCATTTTGTGGTTCATACCGTAGCTTTCATCAGTTAGACGTTCCTTCGACAAATCGAGCCTAAACTATTGCACTTTTCTACAGAATTTGTCGCAGCTGGCATCCATCAATCATGATGTGCTGTTACAGGGAGGAAAGGACTCGTCAAAGTGCTCTTCGCCAAGCAGAAATCCAGAAAAATAGCGGTTTTTATTGATTCATTTTCAAATAGAAAGTACCGGGGAACTTGATTAATTTGTAAATCAAAATGTACATAATAGACGCACTTTGCACTTAGGATTTCTAAAAAGCTCATTTAAGCCCCTTCAAATGCACTAGGACATGTACAAATGTTTTGGGAAAAAGCATTTTTGAAGACATTGATCAGAAAGAACTCAGGACATGTACAAAGACGTTCAACCGCCAGGACGATGACAAATCTGCTGTAGAAGCAAAGATGTAAGATACCATTTCAAAAGTATTCCCAAAATAACAGAGAGGAGATCCTCGTAACTAACATCCTTCAGACAGGAATTGGTAAGCCCTTCTTTGCCATGCTATCGAGGACATCATTCAGAGCTTGGCACAGCCCAACAATCTGTCAAAAGCAGCATAATATGTCAGAACGAACAATTAAATAAAGTGAAAGCTGCCAATCATGCATTTTATTTGATGAAAATGACCTGACCATCTAGGAAAGGCAGGGCAACATAAGCAGAAATTTACCTGTTGATCCCACTGTTGTAATTCCTCTGAATCATCCTCAAAATGTATGACACATTCAACCTGACAAGATGGATCCCGTATTAGAAAAGTTCATGAGAAACGGTGCATTCATAATTTCTGAGCTTCGATGGGCATGAGCGAGGTTGTGCAATAACAAACAAATGAAAGAGAAATGTAGAGAACTCCTCGTCGCTGAAAAAGATCTAGGATCTACCTGGTCAATAGATCCCCTCATTCGATCTTCACATATCATTCTTGAAGCAATTTTCTCAGCCTGAAAAGAAAATACAACATAAGTTCCGAAGGCCAGAAGACATGTAGGTTTATACACACGTACCTATGCACCAAGAATTCTACAGATTAAATAGTGTAAAATAATTGCATTAAACCCGTTGAGAAGATGCAAACAACACTTGAAAATGCTGGCTACTATTTTCCAATGAGATTAATTGACTGCATATTCCAATGACATATATAATCAAGAATTCTCCAACATAGGTGGGGATAGCCTCTGTACTTCAATGAAGCAATACAAAATGAACTCCAAAATAACCAATAACGAGCAAACACAACTAGAAAACATAGAAATTGACGAGAATGGCACCAAATACTTGAAATTGGCAGAAAGAAACAGACCTTTTGAGGAGCAATGCCCAGCAAGGTCCCTAACTCATCAAAGCTATTTCAAAGAGACAATGCAAAACCACATAAGCACAAGTAGATACAAATACAACAACAGGATATATTGAAAGCAAAAAGAAAGTTGAAAAATTTGTAAATAGTAGGAGTAATATCAAATGGTTTTTCCACCTTATATTTGTGTAGAGTTTACTAGCACTCAAGAGATTGTGTTCAATCATAGCACGATCCAGGACAGTAAAATTGTCGGGCAGAAGCGCTTTCTGCAATAAATTTACACAATCCAGGGATCAAAGCAGTAATTAGAAACAGCTGCATCTAGCATCACATCCAAACCACCAATTAGAAAGTAAGTTAGACCTGATGTGGTTTCAGCTCTTCCGCAAAAGCATCAATTTCTGGTTTTCTCAAAATCCTCTCCAAATAAACCTAGAATCAATGTTAAAAATCAAAAGACAAACATAAAGGAAATGAAAAGGTAGAAGACAACAAAGAACTACCTGCCTTGATATGCAAATCTACTGCATCACATTATTATGCTTATGAATCAGATAACATGCAAGTTTCAATAATGTTTACAGGAAAACAAGTTGTAGAAAATACCTTCTGTAAGATTGGATAAATCTTCAACTTGGAGCACCGTTCATCCTGCAACAAGGTAATGAAATTTTAGGGGAGGAAAAAAGAAGAGAGGAGTCAAAGGCCCATCAGAAGCACTAATTTTGGCAAAACGACTCATCTCATTATTATTATCACATCGTACTAGCCTAATTTTAGTAACTACTCAAAGCTTATTCATAAGTTTCTTATAGGAGAAACATTGTTCGATCCCAACAATTATGACTACAAAGATAGATGTTATAGACAGTATTCTACCCACAACGTTGAGGCAAAACATATCTTTTCAAGTGATGAAAATCAGGGCTTGACCCTCTTCTGTAAAGATAAATCGGAAGTAAAGTAGCAGAAGAACTTTTGAAGAAATAGAGGAAACTTATAAAAGTGATAATAGCAAAACCCCATTTTCCTTTGATTGTAGACACAATTTCAGAGAAGGATACCATGTACTGATTGTTCAACACGAGAATACAAAGATGAAATTTGCTGTGTAAAACATATCTTTTCAGGCTATGAAAATTAAGGGTTAACTGTCTTTGCCTGTAAAGATACATCAGAAATAAAGTGGCAGAAGAAATAAACTTGTAAAAGTGATAATGGTAAAACCCCATTTTCCTTTGACCATATCTCATGAAAAATCAAGAGGTATATATTAGACACAATCTCAGAGAATGATACCATATACTGATTGTTTAACATGATAATGCAAAGATGAAATTTGTCTGGTTAAAAGAAAGAGCAGGAACCCTATCACGTAACACAGGGATTAACCCCTTAGGGTAATTAAGCCTAACCAAATTCAAAACAAAGCATATAGAAAGCTCCTGCAATCTAGTTTCTCATTATTATCAACCTTGTACAATGTGGCAAGAACACGTGAACGCTGAGGACCTGCTGCAGCCAAAATTGTGCATGTCACAGCAGCTGCTAGAGCTTGCTCCAACGCTTCTTCATCAAGCTCTCTGCAACAAAAATCATACTCATGAAGCACATACACAATACCAGTATAGATGTTCCAGAATCACTACGAAAAAGAATGAATCAATGTCTCATGAGAGAGATTTTCATTAAGGCTTGTATATTCTTGAGGACATTCAGTATCTATTTCCCAATGCAAATCACCCCTTTTTATATCCAATTCTTAAAGTACAAATGTTGACAATTATCTGTATGCAGATTTGGCTTCAAGGAGGCAGTTTAAGTCTAGAAAACTTACTCATCCCCAATTTGCCGCTTCTCTATTTGGGAAATGTCATAATAACGTAGAGCAGCTTCCAAAAATTTTCTTTTCAGATCAAGAACCCTAGCATAGCAAACCTGGTACAATCAAGATACAATGATTAAAGCATAATAATGTCATTTCCAGCCAAAAGATATTCTTAACATCAGATAATGTCTACCTTGTACTGCAAATTCAACACTTCGTGTCCACTGTTGCTAACCAAAAATGAAGCTTTGTTGATAAAGGCTTCTGCATTAACAGCATCATCATCCTGTCCAGGTAACCATGAATGCAGTTATGGCAGATTGATTCCACGCAATGACCATGCAGACAAGCTCCCAAGACAGATGCATAAAAAGGCTCAATTGTGAAGCCAAAAGTCAATGGCAAGACCAATTTGGCTATTCTTTTTGAGATCAGGTAAAATGCTTTCCTAGATCATCCATCATGGTAAAAAAGAATCCAATATGTGAAGCAAATGATGAAAACATAAATTGAATGTCTCCTCCATCAATTTAAAGAACATATGCTTTCAGAAAATGAATATTGTGATAAGCAGAGAGAAGTACAGAGGTTTGTGAGATTGACAAAGTTTCCAAACTGCAGTGATGCAATACGTTTGCACTAACAAAGTGTAGCATCATGTGGACAACTATCCCAGAATATCATAGTGATTGCGCAAACAAACATGCATTTCTTTGAGATTTAGACAGCAGATATTTGCCAGCATAAATCCAGTGAAAGCTGCATCCCATTGACTCAATGCAAAGGGTTTAATGAGGCAAATACTCAACAAGGACTCAACCTGTGCCCAGTCCAACTCATTAGTGAATCCACTCACAATGCCTTGACCAGACAAGCCTTCAAAAGATAAGAAAACAATGCCAGTCCTATCACTGTTACCTGGGAGTAGAAGGCTAGCTACTCTATACAGTGATTCATGTAAAAGTGGAACACCAGGGTTTGGCATTGTGACCCCCCAAAGTTCCTGTCCAAAAACAATTGCATACTTTTTTGTTTCTTTTTTGGTTCATTTTCATAACATTATTCTTTTTGGCAGCAGATGGCTAGCTACTCTATTCAGTGATTCATGCGAGAGTGGAACTATCTGGGTTTGGTATTGGAGCCCCAAAGTTCCTGTCCCAAAAACAGTAGCACACTTTTATTTTTTGGGTTCATTTTCATAACAAATTTTTTCTCTTTTGTTCTTCACGCATTTGAATTGCATGAATCCAAATAGCAGATACATAAATACAACTGCTGTACGAGGTACATATCTGTACAAACAATAATTGATACTTGGAACTAATTATTTAAGGTCCGTATTTGTAATTGTTCTAAGATCCAGCTGATTTTTGGAAAATATAAATTATTTTTTTTAAGTGACAATGATTGTGCCAGTTTCAAGTCAGATTTCAGTAATAGTTACAGTTTCATGCGTCCTAGGATCTCCAGGTAACCAACACCCTGCACAGCTTTCATCAAGTTCAAGGACACTAGACGCACATCCTGTCTAAAATAAGTTATTTACTAGATTCCACACTTTGTATCAGCACATATATGTATGTGTAAATAGTTACAAGTAACTAAATCTACTAACAAATAGAACAAGTACCTCAAGGTAAAGACGGGCAATTTGTACACACTTTGATAGCTTGAATGTATCATCAATCACTCTAGAAAGACAGCAGAGAAGCAGAAAATTAGCTTTTGCAGATTAACTGAGATACCTGGTAGTTGTACTGTAATTGTTAAAATTGTTAACAAACCTCATTGCAGAATCTAGATCAATGCCGCTCAGCATCTGTGCAGCTTTTGACCACAATTGTTCAGATTCATATAACTCTGCAAGCTTCTCTCGGATTATCAGCACCTATAACCCATTTTTATGAGGCACATTCAGCAAAAGGGATAAATCCAACCATATAAACCACATCAATGAATAAGCGTCTGTGTTGTAACGAAAAAGTAAACAAAGAGAAGAGGATTAGTGATGGACATATTAGACATACAACAAATATTATCTCCCAGCAGTTACTGATTAGCACCACCTTATGACTCAAAAGATTTGAACAGTAAAAAGCAACCACACAATACTCCTAGTGAGAATATGAAGCTATGCATACAGTAGACATGTTTTAAAACTAATTGGACACCACCAGCTAAACCTCCCTTAGACATTCGTGGGCAAGGAGAATCAAAAGAATAAATAGAGATCAGCATCATAATTCAGTCAAGTGATAAAGCCACTAAACAAGACGCAGATGTAAGAAGAACCGATGCAAACAGCAATTCTAGCATTTCTGGTACACAAACAAATACCACAGGTGCTAAAGAGTAATTCGTTAGAACAATTCCTTTCCAATCAGGAACATTAGTACTATTTCACACAGCAAAAGCCAAATCTCATGATAATGTTTCATTTTCATGCATTTTGATTAAACATGGATAAAATACGTCAACAGTTAAGAAACAAAACTTTTGATGCCTAAATACCCCTAAAATTTCCCATCCCCTAGCCATGAAGTCCTCTATTCCCCAATAACTCTACTGTCGTAAGTTTAACCAGCTTTGTGTGCACTATGTCTTCCTAAAAAAGAATCCAAAAGGATGAAGAAACACTTGAGTGAGGCAATCAGCAGCTTCATTCTAGGCCTAATTAAATCAGGTTAATTATACAAGCAATTTCATCACAAATAGATAACGAGAACAAAAAGTAGACGTTAAATCTACAATAACCAAAGCACGAAATTTCAGTTTCAATTCCCGACCGAAAGCGGCATTGAGGACAATCCTGGTAAACATACTATTACTAAATCGAAACCTGTTCCTCAAAGGACACAACGCGAGGCTGAATCTGATTAAGAGCATAATGCGCAATCTCCTTTTGTGCCTCCGGCTCCAAGTTCCTAAGCTCTTGCGCGAACGTCAGCAAAAGCTGCCTCGATACAACCAGAGGTACATCGTCCGATAACACTGAAAATTTTTTCACAAAATTCATGAAAAACTAAGTAAATAAAATCATCAAACCTAGAAAATTAAAACGCAACCCAAACTCAATAGAATGTCGACATCGACTGTGTGTTTACTGTGATCGATGAACTTTTTGGCTTGTGCGGTATCGTTTGAGGCGAGTACGGTGGAGAGAATGTGCTTGTACTGCTCGATTTTTTGCCTCTGATCACTGATCCCAGAGGCGCTAGCGAATGCCTTCTCCATAGTTCTCCGTCGTCGTTAGCCTAGGGTTTAGACTTCAGAGACTTCCGAGATTTTGGTGTTTTGCTTTTCTAGTAAGATTGTGGAGTAGTAAGGAATAAACCGGGGGTGACATTTGAGCAAGCGAGGTTTTTATAGGACAGGGTGGTGCAGAATGGGATGCAAAATAATAAATTTGGATTTGATCTTACCTTTCCTTTTCGTTTCCTTAATTGTAAAATTTAAATGGTCATTTTGTACTAAAATGCAAAACAAAATAAATTGTTTACACAGTTCACAAAAACCCAAAGAATTAGCATTCATTAATTAATTGGCCATTAATTTTTTGTTAACAATGCTTGGACTCATTTAACTCATGTTAAAAGATTTTACCCCAAAAAAAATGGTAAAAAGATGAAAAATGTACACATCAGTTCAATTACAACTTTATGTAAAGCAGATCGTCATAAATTTGATAAAAAATATTTTTATCTAATTAAAAATGATTAAGGGGTTATAAAGGAGGTGTCTTTTTATAATAAATAAATAATGAGGTGCCAATGCCATTAACATTTGCCAAGAGAAAGAAATAGAAGAAAAAACAGAGAGAGTTTTTAATATGTTCTTACCCTGACGCTGACGCCAGCCAAATAAACAGACAACTAGAGATTTTTCTCACTTCTGCTGATTCGCCGGATCACCCCCTCCTGGTCTGTGCCCGCCCTCCTTCTTCCGCCACTGCCTTTTTCTTCTCATTGCCTTTCTGTCTCTCTGTTCTATTATCTATACGGTAACGATCTCTTTGTTTCTTAATTTGTCTTTATTTTTAACAGGAACCAACAAAATTTTCAGTTCGATACTGTTACAGAGCCACTCTAACCACCCCCACCTCCGCTATTAAAGGTAAGAAATGCTTCCTGGGAGTTATTTTTTACCTGCCGGAAGTTTCTTATGTGTGCTGACAAATATAACTTTTTGGAGCCTCGAACGTTGAGATGATTTATTGCCTGAGGTCCAAAAGTTTGGATTGCTAAAGGTTTTTGGATAGCACTGGGATTAAGATAGTCTTTGATACCTGGTTAAGTGGGTAGTAGATCCAAGAAAGCAACTTGATCTATCTAATGACCTTTTCTTTTTGGATAATTTCTTTTCATGCTAATAGTTCATTTTAGAGCTTCAATTTGCATTCAAAAACCACTATCCGTTAATGGGTTCAAATTGGAAAATCTTGTTTTTGAAGTTTGGATTACATCTAGTAGTCATATAGTTGTGTGCCTTATGCATGCTATGCATGTGTCTCTGGTCCTAATTTCTTCATACGGATGGAAATTGCGATTATTTGGTTTTCATTTAATTGTTTCTTGTTGCTTTTAGGTGTAAGTACCATGAACTGGATTCAACGCAAGATTTATCTGTATAATGTTACTTTTGGACTCTACATGTTGGATTGGTGGGAGCGTTATCTCTTCAGTATCCTTCATTCGCTTCAACTTTAGAAACTTGATATGCTTGATTTATACTCTACGCTTGCTCATGTAAGATTGTCCAAAATTGCTCATACTTGCACAATCCGGTGCTGCTGAAATTGGTGAATTTGGTAACTGTCTTGATCAAATCTTGTTCTGGTCAATGTCATCCTGAGATATGACATGGCCAATCATGTCATTCAAAAGGAGTTGTAGTCATTGCCTCCTGAAAATGATGTTTGGAACCGGGGGTGGTGCAAGTAGTTAGGCCTGGTGGTTAAGTTCTGGTTATAAACTTATGATAGTGTTGATGGATGATTTTTATTTTTTATTTTAGCATTCGATTGACAAATGTTTTAAAATGCTGTCCCAACTACCAGAGTTTGTAGAAAATGAAAGTGCGTATCTTTTTTACTGTTTAAGCTTGTACGAGCAGTGATGAATATATTAGTTAAGGCAGTACAGTGCTCAAGGTCATTCTTCTGAAGGTTTGTATTTTGTGCAATGTTCACCTTAATCTGAAAGATACTCTGATTATTGTGTTGATGTGGTTTATTTTCTACAACACCTCAAAGTTCATCAGTGATTTCTGTAAAAGGTAAGTCTCTGTTCTCATCATTGTACTGCTAATATCATGGCATTTGGATTCCATTTTGTCTGTCCTTGCCTGATCAATATGTTCATGAAAACTGTAGAATATTTCCATAATTGAGACTTTTCTACATGTAAAATCATCGAACTGGTAACCATATTTTGAGACAATATACTTCTTGTTAATTAACAAAGTTACCATTTCAATGAATAAGACATGGTTGATGTGATCTTAAAGGACCGCTATATTCTTTGAGAGAGCTTTACATTTAGTGACAAATTTTAAATGCTGTCATTTCAGAATGAAAACTCTTAATTTAGAATCACTTTTGTTGATATATGATTTTGCATGAATTTTCTATTGGTCCAGGGCTTGCAACTTTGAAAATGTCAAGATCTTGTAGATACGGTGATAGTACAGTCCTCGTTAACGAGTTATTTGACTATTGCATTTGTTCGAACCAATCTGAGAGATAATCAGTTTTGAAGTTGCAAGAAAAACCCGTTCTTCTTTATTCCAAACTCTGTGATCTAGATTTGACGGCATGCTCTTTGACTGCTTGTAGACTTCCTATAGGGGTGATCTGGTGAAATAACTAAATCAGGTTATAGCACATACCCGCCAAGTAAGAGTCTGGTGTCTCTAATTGCAGCTAAAAGCACCTCTCTTTTAGTACTATGTCGTTGGCATCTTCTTTTCATTAGCATCATTGGGAATAACAAAATACCACAAAAAGCTGATTATCACTTGTTGGCATGCAACTAAAATAGACACTAGTGCTATCCAACATCACCAGACAGAATGAGAATATCTTCTTATTGTCGACCCTAAGATGGACATGATGAAGTACTTGAATGGTTAAGAAATTCATTTAGGGATGATTAAATTGCATTTTTAGTAGTTTGGAGGTGGATCCAAGGATTTGATTGTTATGGAGAATTGGACTTGCTGAGTGTTGCTTGCATTATTTCATCTATTTTCGTGTTTTAAAACAGGTATATTGTTAAGTTTAATTTGCAGTACATTATCAGATACCTCTATAACAAGTTTAGGCCTGTTTTGTGAAGCAGGAAGTCATCATCTTAGGCAACTTTATCATATACAAGTGCCTCTTTTTTTTTTGGGGCTATGCAAATCGGTCTAATTAGGCTAGTGTGCTAAGATTTGTATTAGTAATTTCATAGATTCATATTCTGATTTTAGTTCTCTTCGTGGTTGTAACTTTGTATATTTTCTTTCAGGCATTTATGAGTTTGGTGCAATGGAGGCACCCCTATGATGCAAGGAGATTGCGCAGTATAGTTTTGAATGGATACGGGATTCTGGCATAATTATCCATTTTGTTCTGTGTTATTTGACCATGTGTTGTAGATTTTGGTCTTTTTGTTCACGGTATTGAAATTGATCGAGCTATTGTGTTTGTACGCTGTTCCACAAAAGCAACTTGTAGCTGTGCAACAGAACCAATGATTGAACCAACGGCCCCTACACCGCAAAGGCACCAAAGATGGAGGTCAACGTTTTCTCGAACCTTACTTCCCATCAATTAGTACTCTACGTGGCTTTTTCAAATATTTTTTAATCTAGAAATGGTTTATCCCCTTGGATTTGTGACGATCCATTGCTGCTTTATGTGGCTTTTCCAAGTACCGCTGATCTAGAAGTGGTTTAGTCTCTTCTATTTTTTATGATCCAGTTGGGTCTGTCCCTTCATCATAGTGTAGAAGTAGGAGTAGGTATAGGTGTAAATTATTGATGTTTGACAAAAAAGAAAAAAAGAAAATTCCATGATTGACACGAGAGATGGATCCCATTTGGTCCTGTACATTTTTGCCTGGGATTAGTAGCCTTTCGTTCCCTCGCAAGCTAGGTTCGTAACACTTCGATTCCAAATTGTTTGTCACAATTCGTTCTAAACGTTTTTGTTTTTTTGCCACACACTTTTTTGAAGGATTGCCACATACTTTTAGTACTTATATGTAAGCCAGTTGTAGAAGAAGCAAGGTATTTTTGCCACTTGAACTAAATTTAGAGACATTAGCGACTTTATATCCATTAATTTCCGGCTGCAGCTAGCTGATTGGATTCGCAATATCAATAGTTCGAAGGACGCATGATTGTGGGTTGAATTTTGGTGTAATGTGGGGGGGTTGGGGTTCGCCCCACGTTCTCTTTCTTTCTTTGTAATGAGTCCGAGATGGCGAAACGGAATCATGTGCTACAAAGAGATGTCAGCAAAACTGAACAAAGTGCCGATCCTTAACCTATTTTGGGTATGGTGCTTTTGTTGGTTCTTTTCATTTTTGGGCTTTTTCTGCACGGGCCTCCTGCACAAGTATTCATTATGTCTACTCTGCCTTCCCGTGGCCCTTAACCGACATGATTTAAACCCAGGAAAATTGCTGGTATATTTTAGCTGCCACGTAACCAGATAAATCCATAGCATGCCTACCATCCTTCCACGCCCACGTTCCACTCACTCCACCCCCAAACTGCCACGCCTCCACTTCCGTATCCACGTTGATAATAACCCTTTAAATCCACGGAATAGCAAATCGTGGCCTGGTCTTATCATCTTCCGTCACCTACATAAAATATCGACTCAAGCCAAAAAAAAAAAACCCACCCACGAACGATCATCTCTCTGCAGTCGAAGCGCGATCATTACCTGAAAATTAGCTCTCCGAACATCTCTTTAATTAAGAACTAAACTTGTTGATTTATAGAAGCTAATTGAAGTCGCAAATTAGTATTCGGCGCCAACAATGGAAAACTCTGGTAACTATCAAACTTCGTTGATTATAACTCTTTTTTTTCTTCCCTTTACATATGCTGTATTTCTGTTAAATTTGTCATGCGATGGTTTAAATTTCGGATGATGCATATATGTTTATCCCAGTTATTTTGCTGTTTTTTCCTAGTCTGTTCAGATTTAGTTAATTTCTTGGTTTTTAATGTTGATATGGGAATGGATTGTGCTTCACTTGAGCTAATATTTTCTGATTATCTCTGAATTCGTTGCGAAGAGCTGTGGGTGTCACTTTTGGATATCTCATGGACTATTTTTCCTCGTATATAATATGTTGGCTATGATTCATGTAAGAACCCATCAGCAAGCTGGAATCCGATGGCATCCCACTGGTTGGTTGCCT